CCAAAAAAAAAAAAAAAAAAAAAAGGCCCGCGGGGCCGTTTCGACCCTGTTTGAGTGCCACTGGGTGGGAGCACTGTGTGGGCACTGGGTGTGGGGGGCGGTGGCCCGGTGGGTCCACGCGCGGGCCATGACAAATCTGTTGTCGTTTCACATAAATGATGCCATTTATCTGGAACGACAACATTTCTTGTTGTTGCCGTTAGGCTGCCGCCCTGCCTGCTCGCACGCTCAGAGAGAGAGAGAGAGAGAGAGAGAGATCTTCTCCCTCTTCTTCTTCTTCTTCTTCTTCGTCTTCTTCTTTGCGCGGGCCCGCGGCGTACGATCGCAGGCGGTCGCCGCCGCTGCGCTGCCATCGCGCAGCGCGCGGTCGTTGGCGGGCACCATCGCCGTGCAACCTGTTTCCGCGAGCGGTGATTTTAGTGCCCGGCCGCGGCCGATCGCGGCTGATTGCGGCCGATCTCGGCCGATCGGGGCCGAACTCGGCCGATTGCGGCCGGGTACTCGAACGGCCTGAAGGGGCCGAAAACGACCAGGTCCGGTTAAGCCGAGGAGGGCTGCGACATCGGGGCCCGCGGAAGCTGCACCGGCGTCGGGGCCATTCATCGACGGAGCGCCGGGAACGACGACATCGACGGACGACACGACAACTGCGACGCTTTGAGTCAGGGGACGATGACGGGGGGTGCAGGGACCAGCGGTACGGGGGGGTCTGCGGTTGCGGGGTTCATCGCGCAGTCTGAGAGGGAGATGGCGAAGTTGAGGCGGGGGAACTTGGTGTGGAACTTCGTCACCGCAGGACAGCATGTGGGGAACCAGGCGAAGATGCATGGGGACCGAAAGTTGCGTTGCAACTTTTGCGGCCACTTGTTTCAGGGGAATGCGGGGAAGGCCGCGCGCCATTTCACGCAGGCCAAGTACTGCAAGGCGGCGGGGATGAGAGTTTTTGCGGAAATATGGAACGGCACGGACTACACATTCAAGCCCGCGACTGCTCGGCGGGTGCAAAGGTGGATGGCTGACGAGGGGGTACGGGACACGAGAGCGGCTGCGGGTGGGCAGCGACAACAGATGGACGAGGGAGAGAGGGACGAGATTCAGGACGCCCTCGATGAGGAGGAGGGTCTTGAGGGTGGGGTTGGGGAGGGGGGGACGGCTGACGAGGCAGTCGGAGACCCTGACCTGCCAGGGGAGGAGGTGGTGATGACGTCGAGAGGCGTAGGTCGAGCGGGTCCTGCTCCTAGGGCACCACGACCTGAGTTGGGCCGCTTGAGGGCGGATTATGACGGCGGGAGGGGCGTCTTCGCGGGACGTTTGCCAGCTCAGACGCAGGCTGCGGAGGGTGGGTCCGGACGTCCGAGCCTTCACATGGCAGGCCGCATGCTCGGTTTGTCACGAGCGGCGACGAGGAGATCATTGGTCCTCCAGGCCGCAGGGACATCGACCGACATGCAGCAGGGACAACTGCACACATCGGGCGAGGAGGGGTTGTTGATGCATCCCGGGACGAGACGACACCGCGACATCACAGAGGTGGAGGCTGGACTCGCAGCAGAGGTTGCCGCCGGCCAGGCAGCGTTGGACGCGATTCAGAGGCAGCGAGATACGGTTGCTGCACAGGCGGCAGAGGACGAGGACGCAGACAAAGAGTCCGAGCCGCTCGAGAGTGTGGTCCGCAGATGCAGAGCGGCTGTGGCCGCGGCAGCCGCTGCAGCACAGGCGGCATACAGCAGCGGTGCGGAGGGCATAGGTGCCGGAGGGAGAGGAGGGCGCCCGGGAGGACAGCATGGCCGATCGTCCTCCGGGAGAGGCCGCGCGCGTCCTCCTGCAGGGAGGGGCACGGGCCGCTCTTTTGGGAGCAGATGACGACGTCAGTGGTGTTTATTTTTTTTCATTACTTTTTTTTTTTTTGGCTGGACATTTTTTTGGCAGGGTAGTTTCATATTTATGTTGATGTTGTTCCATGGAGATGACGACGTTATGTGGGCATTAGGGTTTTTTTTTTTTTTTTTTCGCTGCTCGGTGTTACGGTAGAGACAATGGCGTCGAGGGGTGCGGTTTTTGGCTTTGGCCTTGTACATACGCATTTCCATTGAAATGCTTTGTCACTGATGTGTTCTTCTCCATGTTTCTCTTCCACCCTTGGTTTTGCATATGAGTCGCTATTGTTTGGTGAGCGGTTTCTGGTTTGTTGTCGTAAATGTCCCCGACACAGCGGGTATTGTTGTCGCAATGTTGCAAATCGTGTCTTTGTCGGATGCCACGCACATGCATGTCATGGTTGCCCCCATGATGAATGTGTTGTGAATTTCGTATGCCAAACAGGGATGATATGCTAATGAATGTGTTGTTTCACGGACTTTCACCAGCCTCATGAATGAACACACACTGTGACACAATTGCTTGTTGACATTGTTTAGAACTTATGGTTGCGGGCAGTGTGATTCATTGTGAATGTTTTGTGACTTTGGTATGCGAAATAGGGTCTGACCTATGATTCATATGAATATGCTGTTTCAAAAAATTTCACGAACTTTCGACACCCTCACGAATGAAATTGACGCCTGTATGAGGCCCTGAGCTGCCTGGGGTCTGCCATCCGCACCCCCGCCCAGCCCCCAC